CTACAGGACACAGATCATAGAAAATTATAGCCTAAGAAATGGACAGTTGACCCTTACTCATAATTTAGTGACAATGATGTTTATTTCTGTCTACTTGATGCACCTGAGTCTGCAATTTAAGTTTGCTGCCACCAGGGGGTGACTGTGTGCATATGGTCCCCTGGAATTTCAAGTAGCTTTCTACTCAAACTTTCCAGGTTGTACTAGTGTCTTAACTTGTCAGGGAAGTCTGGTACTCACTTAAGTCTGGCCATAGTGTCTTAACACAGTTACCCTCTAACGGGTGCTACACTGTCTGGACTTTGGATGTCTTGATGTCAAAGCTGTGAGTGCAGTTTTTCAGTTTAAGGGGGCATCTCTGTTACTGCCTGTGTCTTTATATCAGCTTTGGAGGGAAACCATAGCATGTAAGACCTTAGAGACAAGCTAGAAAAACCACACACATACACACACTCACTTCATTTTAAATATGAAGTAATTGAAGTAAAGTAGTTTTCCCCTGGTCAGAAAACTAGCCAGACAAGGGCAGAATCAAGAATTATCCTCAGGCCCTAACCGGTTTGGCTCAGTGGATAGAGGGGTCCCAGGTTCGATTCCGGTTCAAGGGCATGCACCTTGGTTGCGAGTACATCCCCAGTGGGGGCTTTGCAGGAGGCAGCTGATCAATGTTTCTCTCTCATCGATGTTTCTAACTCTCTATCCCTCTCCCTTCCTCTCTGTAAAAAATCAATAAAATATATTTTTTTTAAAAAAGAATTATCCTCAGTAAATATCAATTCTATTCAAGAACTCCTTTCCCTCTGGGCTTTTTGTTTATTTATTTTGTTTTGTTTACAGAAGGGAAAATAGAGAAAGATGTCAGGGAGTTTTTGTCTCTAGTGCCTTGGTCTCCTTCCCTGTCTCTGCATCAAATCGTCTTCCCTCACTGCCATTTTGACATTTTATTCTCTCGAAGGTAGACCTTCCTTTCCTCACCAGCCTGCTCACCACTGGGCTGTGAGGCAACTGGTCTTGTACTTGCTTGTTTATCTCTTAGCTGGTTTTCCTCAGCAGAAGGTTTTAACTATGAGAGACAAGAATTTCTTCATAATGTAGTGGAATATAGGAACAGAAATCTGAAAAGTCAGTTCCAATTCATTCATCAAAGAATATTTAGAAGGAGGACACTTTTTTCTGATGATATGGACTTGAGGTCAGTAGGTGTTCTCAGATGTTCTAGTCTTTTTGTTTGTAACTCTGACACCTCGTTGTTGTTGTTTTAGCAGTTTTTGTCTTTGACTCTCTCTACAATTTAGCTGCATGATCACCAGGAGGAGTGTCATGAGTCATGGTGGATTTCCTGAGAACAGAATGACACTTTCTTCCTAGACCTACACCAGAGATGGTCAAGTTTTTATTGAGGAGGGGGAAAGAACCTCCAAGCAATGAAAGCATTATTATAGCTTAAGGATGGTACTGACAACAAAATTACCTTAAATAAAATAAAATCCTCAAGATATTTCTTCGCCTCATTCCTGTCTCTCTCCTTCCTGTATCAGTGAGTACCAGACTTCCCTGGCCAGTCTTCAGTCTCCGTCCCTGCACTGCATTGAGACATCGAGTTAGTTTTCTCCTCTTAAATTACCTGCTCCACATCCACAATTTTTATCCTTCACATTTCTTTCCCTCCCTCCTTTCCTTCCTTCCTTCCTTCCTTCCTTCCTTCCTTCCTTCCTTCTCCCCAACCCTCCTTAGAAATATCTGAACTTTCCAGTCTCTAGGTCAGGGGTGGGAAACCTTTTTTCTGTCAAGGGCCATTTGGATATTTATAACATCATTCATGAGCCATACAAAATTACAACTTAAAAATTAGCCTGCTATACTTGGTCAAACATTTAATTAACTCACCCCTAATGCTTTGGCAGGCCCAGACCAAATGATTTCATGGGCCTTATACAGCCCTCAGACTGGACATTCCCTACCCCTGCTCTAGGCTTTCCTTAGACATCTCGGGACAGAGCAGTAAAAACAGAAAACAGAGGCCCAACTCAGCCTAGCATATTGAAGAACCAAATCCATTGTTGATCTTTTATCAAATCCAAAATGAAGGAGTACTTCAAACTTTCCCTCTGCCTGCTATTCTCTTGAAGGTAGACCTTCATATCAGAAAGTGTGAAGTAGCATTAAGCCATAATGACCAATATCCTGCAATCCTGATTTCATACAAATTTGAAATAAATACATTCATACTTATAGGAATATGTATTCCAGCTTATATGTTCTGAAAAACTTGTTTTGTGTTTGTATAACAAAAAGGTTATTTGTAAAGAAAATAAATTGAACTAATTACAACCAAATTGCCAGCTGCTAAATGATGGGGACTCTGAATAATAATAATTTGGTTATCGCTATCATCACAATGCTACAGGCTTATTAATAAGGCTATATGTTTATTGAAAGCATTAATAATAAGTATATCATTCAAGCCTAATAATCTTTGAAGTGAGCAGGTTCTTATTCTCCCACTTTTCAGATTATGAAACTGAGGCTCAGAGAGGTTTTCACCTGTTCTATACCGTTATTTTCTACCTCCAGGGCTTATTAATCTTTTTAACTCATCTTCTTCTCTCTCCTGTCTAAAGAACAAATAATAACTTGTCCAAAATCTGAAGACTGTTTTTGTCTATTATTTCTTTTTTCGCCTTTAATAAAGGCCATATCATGATTTCCCATACTAAACCAAATAGATGAAATAATATTCTCAAAGTGGATGTTTATCTATTTTAAATTGATTTCAGAAAGGGGAAAGGGGAAGAGAGAGAGAGAAATATCGATGTGAGAGAGAAACATCAATCAGTTGCCTCCCATATGCACCCTGACCGGGGATCAAACCCGCAACCTAGGTATGTACCCTGACCAGAAATGGAACCCACAACCTTTTTTGGTGTAGGGCCGTGGTCGGCAAACTGCGGCTCGTGAGCCACATGCAGCTCTTTGGCCCCTTGAGTGTGTCTCTTCCTAAGCCTTAGGAGTACCCTAATTAAGTTAATAACAATGTACCTACCTATATAGTTTAAATTTAAAAAATTTGGCTCTCAAAAGAAATTTCAATTGTTGTACTGTTGATATTTGGCTCTGTTGACTAATGAGTTTGCCGACCACTGGTGTAGGGGATAATGCTCCAACCAACGGAGCCACCTGGCCGGGGCCTTATCCATGTTTTTAACTTATAGAAGATTAGAACCCAAAAGTAACTAACAACTTCATTTTATGCTTTCCCCAACCTATTTTACACATGAAGCCATGGCAAGCAAGGGGATAGCAATTTACTCAAAGGCAACAGAAATTATGGGAAGAACAGGAGCCAAAATCTACATCTGTTGACTCCGTCTATCAGTTTCTCTCTCTCTCTACTGTTTTTTTCCCCTGGTAGAGCCCTGAGCTTATCTTTCTTGCTATCCAGCTGAAGTTTCCCTGTTTCTAAGCAGACATCTGACTCATCTTTCCTCCTGCCATTTATGAAAATGCTCAGCAAGGGTAGTTAGAAGTGGAGCACTGTGCCAGGCCACTGATGACCTAGTTTCAGTATGAGGAAGAGCTATCGATAAAAGTTTTCAGTAATTCAGTTCAACTCTTCATCATTCCCAGTGCTTATTCTGTTCAAAACACTGTACTAAGCTTTTTTTTTTCCTTAATCCTTACCCGAAAATACTTTTTCCATTGATTTTTTTTTTTTTTAGAGAATAGAAGAGAAGGAGGGAGAGAGAGTGGGAGGGGTGGGGGGAGAGAGAAAAAAAATCCATGTGAGAGAGACACATCAATTGGTTGCCTTCCACATGCACCCCAACTGGGTCTGGGGATCAAACCTATAAACCCAGGCACATGTCCTTGACTGGGAATCGAACATGAGACCCTTTAGTGTGCAGGCCTATGCTCTAACCACTGAGTGTAGGCTCAGCGGCCAGGGTTACACCTAGCTATTTTAAACTTGTCTGACTAGTAATATTCTGACTGCATTTCATCATCTTGAATATCATGGGGGAAATATACTTATTTAAGATAAGATATCTCTTTTAGCATTCAAATTTCTAACCAACCTAGCAATCCCATAAAGAACAAAATGATTTAACGCAGCATATATTTCCTTAATTAGACTTCATTTGGTTCTTATTGAGTTTCACATTCTTCTCTACATGTTAACAAAATGGTGATAAATTTCTAGGAATTGACATCTAGCTGCCTGGAGGAAGTGTGTGGAGTCCTCCCTTTCCTCCTCTCTGAAAGATAAAACAGTATTTGTTCATCACAGTCTCCTGTTCTTCCCAGTTTCTTCAAACATGAGTGATCTCCCTGCACTAAGACCACCAGTTTCCCTGAACCACTAGGAAGCTAAGCCAGGGGTGTCTCCCATCCTTAGGGAATGCAACACTAACGGGGTAAACTTAGCAAAGATGGGTAATGAATCTCAATGTAGAAGCACAAAGCGACCCCTAAGCATGCTGATGAGGACAGTCTGACATTGCACTGCCTGAGTGAATGTAGGTTGCGTGGCCCTAGCCTGACTTTCTTGCCCTTGCCCTTGCCCCAGCCCTGGCCTCTCCTGTCTGCCCTGAGTGGAGTCTCTGCCCTCTCCCCACAGTTGTGGACATGGATGGAAGACCTGCAGAAGGAGATGCTGGAGGATGTCTGTGCAGACTCGGTGGATGCGGTCCAGGAACTGATCAAGCAGTTCCAGCAGCAGCAGACCGCTACTCTGGACGCCACGCTCAACGTCATCAAGGAAGGCGAAGACCTTATCCAGCAGCTCAGGTCAGCGCCTCCCTCCCTGGGGGAGCCCAGCGAGGCCAGGTCAGCACGGGCGGTGCTTTCCAGTGGGAAATGCCTCAGACTAGACACGAGATAAGTCATGTCCCGGTCTTGGCTCAGCCACAACCAGCTTTGTGGTCGTGTGTGATCTTCAGTGTCTCCATTTGTCCGATATAAAAATGCCTGCACTGTATGCAACTTGAGTTTAAAATGAAACAGTAAACAGAAAAGCGCTCATCTCCTAAGGCATTATTTATCATTCATGATGTTATTCAGCAATCAATAAGTCACATAAGTACAACAGAAATTAGCAACACTGAACAGAAAAACAAATAGCCTCTTCATTAAGAATTAAGGTGTATTTAATCACATGGAGAAAGGGCCATCAGGAATATAGTGTTCTTTGGATCCTGATCTCAGGTTGAACTCTGAACTCCAGTGCCCGAGTCAGCAAAATGTGACCCAACATGGTTGGCGTTGGCCCACGTGGAGTGTGTGGTGGTGTCCTGCTCTGTTCTTCGTTACCCACTTAGGACCTTTCCACCATTCCTTGATGCCCAGATAACAAAAATCTTCCTGTGTCAACATAAACTAGCATAACTAATAAGAAAAATCTTGTCCCAAACCTCATATTTATTTAGAATCACTCGCACCATTGCCTCCTTTCTGTTGGTGTTAGCATCTAGTTTCCTGCTCCTGTCAAGGGCCCTGAATCAGATAAAGTGTCATGAAGCCTGGAGCAGGCCCTCAGCAGCCAGCGCTGTGCCCAGGTGCTGTCTGAATGGGGCTTGATGGTGCTAATGAGGCCTGCCCACAGGGACTGGTTCCTATCCCAACATCACTGAGTGCCGAGACCTCTGCCAGCTCCGGACAGAAATAATCTCATCAACAAGTCCCAGCCAAGCCAGGACCTGAGGGGATGACTTCAAGTGAGAGGGCTTTCCCCCATATCAGTTGTCTAATTAAATAAACAATGAGAACTTGCCTTTCAACGTCCCTGGCACGTTTTTCTGTTGGAAATTAATTATTTCTACTCTAAATATGCACACGAGATGTTCTGAATCTCGCTGTTGCATACTAACAAGACAGTCTCTGTCCCTTGATCCCTAGATTCATCTTCATGAATACATAACACATGACAGTTTTGTCTGCTTACCTAGGAAACTCCACTGTTCTTTTTTTCTGAAGAAAATTACAGATAGCAGGCAGGCACTTCACCTCTTTGGGTCTCAGCTGTGTTGTCCTTGTGATTAAGGGGCTCACTCCAGATCTGTCAGCTCTGAGATTTTGTGATGGTTTTGTGTTTTCTCTCCCAATACTTTTCACAAGCTTGGTTGATTTCAGTCTCTGTGGGGCTGGGTTTGTGGAGATGCCACTTACTCTTAACAGCTGCCAACTTGCACCATAGCTAAGGGTGGAAGGCTACACGGAGATGGTGGAGGCAATGACTTGGCCGATGCCAGTTCCACAAGTTTAACCAAGGATTTCAGAGAGAATCATAGGCGTGTGACCAAGACCCACTGGTGACCATGTATTCCCCCCCTAGCCTGACTCTAGTCTGGGCTCTTCTCCCTGACAGTAAGACCAGGCAAACAGAAAAAGGAGTAAATGGTGCCTCATGGGCCTTAGCTGGCTGCCTCACACACACCGGGCACACATTTTTTGTAGGTCTGGCACTCATCACTGAAGTCCCTAACGTGGCTTCCCATCCTCTCTGTGATTCCCAGTGAGTGTGACACTGATGTTGGTGCTGTGCAGAATGGTCAGAAATTATGCTCTTCCTTCTAGAAGGTGTGTGATGTAGAGAGACTGAGAGGGGTTGTCAGAAAGTACAGCCACATCCTCCCAATAGCAAAGCTCTCAACAAGTGCATAATGCATAGTGTGAGTACATCTCTATGTGACTCGTGACTAGGGGTGTCCATGCAATGGTGGGTTTCATGCCCAAATAGGCTAGGGCTAGGAGGTAGAATTGGGAGCCGTCTGAATGATAGTAGGGGAAGCTCTTGACAAACTGGTCTTAAGCTCCCTTCAGAAGCAGGTAGTCTGAGCTCAGATACACAGACACAAAGGCCTGGTTTTCAGAAAGCTTGCTGATGAGAGGATTCAGAACGAATGTTTTCCCCCTTGTCTTCTGACTTCTTAAACTGTATAAGAAAGCAAGATGTTGCAAGATATTGAATGTGCCCATTTATTTCAAGTTTTAGGGCTCTAGCTTACTCAAGGCCCTATGGGATGTTACCTTCTTAACCTCCAGTTCTCCTGTTATAGTGATCTCTTTGGAGGTCTCCACCACCTCACTTCTTTGAGCAAGTCAGTGTGTTTATCTTGTGGTTCCCCTCTACAACCTGTAACCCTCTTCCCCCCAATACTTCTGTATAGACTCAGAAAGTGTACTCCTCCCATCTTCCTGGCTGGATTCCACGCCCAAATCAGAACCCATCCTTTTTGAAACCTTGTTGCTGCCCCAGCCTCTTGAGCCCTTCCCTCTACTCTCCCCAGTTGAGCCAGTGCCCCAACCAGCACCTGGTATTTCACTTGTGTCCTTTCAGGAATAGCAGTAGTCCATACAGCACGTACCTGGTCACAGAGCACGTTCACATACACTGTCTTGTTTAACAGCAAACTGTGAAGTGAGCAGGGCAGGGATTATTAAGTCCACTTTACAGGAGGCAGCTGGGATTCGGGGAGGTCATTTCCCAAAGCTACTAGCCCATGTGTGTCAGAGTGGGGACTTACTCCAGGCTTGCAGCCTGCAGGTCCTGTGCTGTCTAACTACAGCTTGGAACCTGTGTGAGGACACCAGCCTGTAACCTGGCATGGCATTATGAAGTGGGTGAATAATACTGGCAGCCATGATCTTCCTTTAACAACAACACTGGGAAGTAAAATTAGGAAGAGTTTTTTTTTTTTATTCTATGTCTTTAATGTGTCAACTCTTATGCATTGTGTTTAATGTGTCTACTCTTATGCATGTGTATGTGTGTGTGTATAAAACTATACATATTAGAGTACACATATGCATGGAATCATTCCATTTCCCCAATATTTTATGCTCTCCAAGACAAGCTGCTGTGCTGTGAACCCCAAAGAGGATGCATGTATCTTTGGTTCACCTACTAAGCAGATGGTGCCTGGCTCACAGCAGGAGTTTGATAAATGGCTGTCACTTGAGTAACTCAGCTGATTCCCATCCACCTTGTTCAGAAGAGGAAGGCCCCCTGCTCCTCTATCACTTCTAACATGCAAGGCCCCTCCCTCCTCTCCCCCTCTGCCACAGGGACTCAGCCGTGTCCAACAACAAGACCCCCCACAGCAGCTCCATCAGCCACATCGAGTCAGTCCTGCAGCAGCTGGACGACGCACAGGTGCAGATGGAAGAGCTCTTCCATGAGCGGAAGATCAAGCTGGACATCTTCCTGCAGCTGCGCATCTTTGAACAGTACACCATCGAGGTAGAGCCGGCGGCAGGGGAGTGGTGGGAGGGAGCCATGGAGAGCGCTGGGAGGCCTGCAAATGGCCTGCTGCCTGGCCAAGGGTGCTGCCCCAGGGTTGAGGAAGGACGCGTAGCTTAAGGAGAACGGAAGACTTTTGCATCAAGGATACATTTATAGAAATCAGCAAGTTCTCATTCTGCCTTGTCATAGTCCTCCGTCCCTCTCACCTCCACTGCCCAGCAGAGTTCCTCTGTTTTACTGTCTGGGGACAGCTTCATTGAGGAGGTTTTGGTTGCTGTGCTTTGGACGCTTGGTACTTTGGTTCCTGAAAGACCATGGAGTTGGCTGTGTGGGGCTTGAGGTAGAGTCCTGGAATTCTTATCGTCATGAGTAGGTAGGTGTTAAAATTAGATCTTCTCAGTTGATGACTGTAGGTCAGAGATTAGCTGACATCACACAGCATCCAGGAAACCAGGAGCCACGGGAAGGAAGATCTCTGTGTCCTCAGTTTGCTTTCTGCTTATTAAGAAGGTAAGTCTGTGCTCAGGCCATTTGGTGGTCACTGCACAGCCTCCTCAGTTCATTCTCAAAAGGTCAGAATTGGGTGTTCTGGTATAGTCATGTCCCCTTCGTGATACTTGTTAATAATGTCAGCCCGAACAATATCCACCGTTTGTTTGTTTGTTTGTTTGCTGTGAGTCAGTAACTAAAGCCAGGGCAGTAGGGTTTCTGGGGTGTGGAGAGTATCAGACACTCAGGTGTTTTGTCCTTCTCAGGGAGGCGGAGGGTTAGATTAAAAGCATTATCTTCTTTTTGCTCCCGGCTGGTGAGGCAAAAGGAAAATTTAATTCTCTATCAACCTTTCTAAAACTTTGTTTTGCATTTCTACCATCTTTTCCCAGTTGGGGCTTCTGGGTGTCTGGGACTGATCTTTCCAACAATAACTGTGGAAATTTCCTTGGAATGGGTTTGGAAGGAAAACATCTTTTTTTTAATGTTGAAAGCTCTAATATCCCATCCCTCAGAGGACCAGAATACCGTTCTGGCAACAGCTGCCCCTTTTTTCAATCCTGACCCCAAAAATGTTTATATTTAGAATAGAAACTGTGAAAGACAAGCAGTCCTTCCTGTTGCTTCCTCTCTTACCATCTTTCTCTTCTGATAAACCTAATACTCCTGCCTCCCCAGAAGCCACTGCTGTTTCTTGCTCTAAAGGCTCCTTCTGGGCCATGTGGGACAAAGGGAAAGATTTAAGTCTTTAAATGTGGATTTAAACTATCCTTTCAACTTACTCTGTAAATTTAGTTGAACTTATTTATACTTTGTATTTTTAGTTTAGGTTGAATCTACACTCAAAAGGATTTCGGGTGTCAAGTAGTATTAAACATATATTGAAAGAACAGTTTAAATGCCAGTGGGAAATTAGAGATGTCAGCATACAGCAAAGAGTGATTAGGGTGGACTTCATAGAGGCAGGGTGACAAAGGCAATAAAGATGGAATAGAGGGGTGTGAGTTCTGAGTCTTTGGTAATTGGGAGTGAAACTCACAGAAATAAACAGAGGTTGCATTCGCTTGCAGTGATGTAGGCCCCAAGTGCTCCCATGGTCCCTCCTCAGTTTCGTTTCGCCTGTAGAGAATGAACACATCTGAACACATCCAGGGAGGATCACGTTAGCAGGTGTGGTGATTTTGCTGTTGTGTTCTTTATTTACCCTCCTGTTGTTCCAGGTCCACATCAAAAAATGCTTAAGGGGAAGGAAACAATCTGAGAGTTGGGTGTTTACATATTATTTCATTAGATGGCTATGGTTTTGAGGTCAGGGTTGCTGATTTATTTCCAGAATGCATTGTTTTCTTCACTTTGCCAGGGACCTCACACCTGACATCAGCTGGAGGCATCACAAGGATGTGTTTGCCTGCAGTTGATTCTGGGAAAATCCATTTTCACTCCTGAAAAAGAACCTAAAATCTGTGCAAAAAAAAAAAAATTCTTTAAAAAACAGCTAGCTGTAAATCAAATGGATCTTATTTAAATGTTGCAATAGGGGAGCTTGACATTTAAATTATGGATTTGCATTCTTCAGCCTCTGTCTGTACTAAAACCCACCTCCCACCCTGAATCCCGGACAACTTGGACAGCTGGTTGTGGATGCTGTAGAGGAAAAATGGAGCCATAGTATGAGGGCCGAATAAAACGAGAGAGAGAAAAATGGTGATGAGGCTCTGCACCCTCTGGATTAGGCAGTGAAGGGGTCTTGTTCCCCATTTGGCATGTGGCCCAAACCTTGGGGGAAATGCTGCATTTCATCCTAGATTAAAACGGAAATCCTGCCAAACCTACAGAAAAGCTCTGGTTCGAATCAGATTGTCAGAAGTGATTTTTAAGGGTGATGAGATTATTTTAAATTCCAGCTAGAGTTTCACTGTGGGGATGAAGAGCAAATGTCCAGAGAAGTTTCAGAATGTGAAACCGAGGGTGGTTTCTGTAATGAGACGTGTCGGCGCTGACATAAGGCAGGCAGGGCTGTCACTGCAGGGCCAGAGCTGTGCTTCCCCCATAAAGGAGGGAATCTATGGACATACTCTGAATTCCTGGGGATTACCCAAGAAAACCAGAGCAGGTCTGCTCCCCCGACATCTGGAGATCTAAGCCAGGCTCCTTAACCATGTCACTGATGGCAGAAATGGGCTAATTAATTTAAGAATGAAGGGAGTATAGGAATTGCTGCACCGGTCTCCTCCTGCCACTAAGAAAGGTGTAGATGGCTCCCCAGTGTAACATGGGACAAGGCCATAGCGTACCGCCAATAAGCGTGAAACTCTTCCCAAATGGATTCAGCAAATGTTCAAAAACCAGGACTGAAGCTGAGGTGCCTATAGATGGTCTATAAAGCCTTCTCCTGTAGGGTCAGCCTCCCTCCATGAAAAACATTTTATATGAAATGGTTATGACAAAAGAGATGCTTCACCAAATACAAGTAATGCTTATTTTGTGGTGGTAGGAATATGGATAGTATTTTCTTGTTTTTGATGCTTCCGTGCATTGCCAAGTGTTCTACAATTAATCAGGATGATCAGAGAGAAAAAAAAATATTTTTAGACGCAAGAACAGTCCAGTGGTCTCCAAACTCTTTGGTTTACACAGCCTCTCAATAAAGTAATTTTGAACTTGTGCCCCCCTATATATGCATATATAATAGTGTATAAATTACACATGTCTTACATCACCGACTACTAATCTCAAAACTCAATGTGCCCCTAGGGCAAAGTTCTGCTTCTTCATTATATGTTGCGGTTCCATACTTCAAATCCTCTTCTGGATCATTTCCAGTTATGTGTTTGGCCTGGTCTCTGGACAGATCTGATTAGATTGTCAGTGTTTCTTTACCCCATCATGTGGCTGACAAAGAATTCAAAGTTCTCTTGTGCTTTCATGATTAGTGTTATCTGCAAACTGCTGTCTTTGAGGAACTTGTTGAGCCATGTGTCTTTTTGCGAAGGTTGGTTTAGTTAAAACTAGATAGTAGATAAATCCATTTAGCTGGACACATGAAAAGAACAATAATTTGAAACGTGATGAAAGCAACTGAACAAATGAGCCACAGTCAGCCCCTCTGCAGTGGGGCGCTCCCCACCCCACCGCCCCCGTCCCCGAGGAGCCCTCCTCATTATCTGCCAGGTGGTTGGACAGACTCCCTTTACCAGTGAAAGTTCAGGGAATGGCCAATCATTTTTATTGGTTTGATCTAATAATATACATACCTATAACATAACATATATGTGCATATGTATAGGTAGAGAACTTTTCTCGCTGTTATCAATGGATAATCTTGAGCATCCCCTGGGTGGGCTCACCTACGTTGGAGAGGACTAGAAATGACACCTAGAAAGATACTCTACACAAGGGACTTTATGAAAATGGGTCACAGTTATGGTCTTTCTTTTAAATCTAATCTGTACAATTAACCTCAGTGAGGAATCGAATAGCCAATTCTAAATCCATAGGATCCACGTTAGGACAAGTTGGGACCAGGCTGAGGCTGGAGAAAATGGCCTTCAAGAAAGAAAATTCTGGCCCTATTCGGTTCGGCTCAATGGATAGAGTGTCCGCCTGCTGACTGAAGGGTCCCAGGTTCGATTCCAATCAAGGGCACATGCCCGGGTTGCGGGCTTGATCTCCAGTAGGGGGCGTGCAGGAGGCAGCCAATCAATGATTCTCTCTCATCATTAATGTTTCAATCTCTCTCTCCCTCTCCCTTCCTCTCTCTGAAATGGATAAAAATATATTTTAAAAAAAGAAAAGGAAAGAAAAGAAAAGAGGAGAAAAGAAAAAAGAAAAAATTCTGCCTGGAGGAGAGCAACCTGATTGTAATCTACTGGTGGTCTCAACTCTTCAATTGGTTGTATGCAGAGGCCCTTAGCATTTTATTTTTGAAAGAGATCATTCAGTCAACCTTTTATCGGATAGAAATTCAACTCAATAAACATTTAGTGAGTTCCTACTCTGTACCCAAAACGATGTTGGGCATTGAGGATACAGCCCCTGGCATCAGGGGACCAGTTGGGGAGAAACACAGGAACCCAACCATTGTACTGTATGATGATTCTATGAAAGGGAGAGGCTCATGGTTTGATGGAACACAGAGGCAGGAAT